ACGGCCATGCAGCCCAGCACAGAGAGCAGCAGCAGCAGGAGTGGAACACGCAGTAACGCAGGGCTGCTGCTGCCGTCATTTAATGCCATACCACTCTTATTCGCCGCACCATTGAGCAAGGAATCAAGATTATCTCCGTGAATATTAATAGTAACAGTAGAACGAGAGCGCTGTTTTTGTTCTTCTGTTTGCTCCGCCTGATTTCCTTCTGTATGGCTTTGCTGCTCAACAAGAGATGTTTCATTTGTCTGTTCCTGTGCCTGAGACTCCACCTGTTTCTCATTCTCCTGTTTCATTTGTTCTTCCTTCTCCTTCTCTTTGGCAGCAGAAACTGGAACCTCGAGTTTGTCAACGGCGTCCTGCAGACGTTGAGCAGTAGTTGACGCCTCCGTCGCAGCGGCGTGAGCATTACTGGACGCGTTCTTTGCTGCTTCTGCCGCCTTGATTGCCGTCGCAATCTCTTCCAGTAATGAGTTGTTAGACTCTTCTGATCGACGAGCTGTCTCGGCTTCAACAAGGCTCTGATTTGACTTTGCATAAGTTTTCTCAGCCAGTTGTTTTGCATTATCGGCGGCCGCCCTTGCTTTTTGGATCAGTTCAATACCTTTCTGCTTCTTTGCCTCAGCTTCTTTTGGGTTTGCAGGGACAGTCTTGAGATGCTGCTCAATTACAGAAACAAATGATGAAGCCTCTCGTGCGGCATTTTTAGCAGCTGTGCCGGCCTCCTCGCACTCCTCTTTCAGCTTAGAAGTTTCTTCCGCCAACGTAACAATTTTTGAGGAAGTTTGTGCATTAGCATGAGCCACACCCACACAGCAGAACACAATGGCCAACAGACACAACACACGACACGGCAACATGGACATTCTTGTCATTAATACCACTGAGGATCACTGGAGTCTGTGTGTGTGTAAAGAGAGAGAAAGAGAGAAAGAAAAGAAAATAGGATTATATACAATCAATAATTCGAAGATGCCTACACTAGTACTCAGACGCAATTATAGCATACTCGAGAGAAACGTGAATCTGAAAGAATAACAACAACAGAGTTTGGAGCATGTACAGAAAGAAAATGGATATTGAGATGGATAAGTAGTTGTACTAAAAATATGCATACA